AGAAGAGACAGCGCCGGGGGCGGCCGCGGCGGCCCGCGGGATGTCGCCCGCGGCGGCGGTGGCGCGCTCGCGCTTGAGGCCGTAGAAGTGCTCGGTGAAGGTGCCCCCCCGGGTGCGCAGGTAGTGCCGCTCGACGGCGAGCATGAGCAGGGCGTAGAGCTCGTCGAACGAGTTGAGCACGCGCAGCAGGTAGCGCGGGTGGCGGTGGGTGGCGACGGTGAGCAGGTAGCGCAGGGTCGGCGGCAGCAGGGCGTTGAGCTGCTGCTCCGAGAGCAGCTCGAACAGCGACGGCTTCTGCTCGTCAAAGGTGCCCCGGAGGGCGGTCATGAACTCCATGGCGGCGGGGGCGGTAGGGCGGGTCGTGGCATTTGCAGGTGCGTCTTGCTGGAGTTCGTGCACAAAAGGAGGCGTCGAGGAAGGGATTGGCGGGTTCGAGTCGAAGTGGAAAGCGATGTTGGAGTTCAGAGGCAGGTAAAGTATGGAGGTTGATGGTGAGGGAGGTCGAGGCTGGCTCAGGTTGGAGCCGACTCAGGGTGCCACAAATTGCCGAGGCATAGCGTCAGAGCCTCTGATCCACTCCCACGTTACCCCAACAAAACCCCATCCATCTTCTTCCTCGGCGCCTTGGTCAACCCTAACCCTGGTTCGGCCCTCGCCCTCATGTCCTGCATCTTTCTATCCCCTTCGTGGCCAGGGGCTTTTAAGCTGTACGTTCTAGAGATCAACGATCAATCTTCTCGGTATTCATGTTTTTTTCTAATCGGAAAGCACTTGTTGGCAGGCCGTTGTCTCCCAGAGCCGTAGGAACGTGATATGTCCATACATTCTATCATCAAACTCCAAATCGAGATTGCTACATCAACCCACAGCAAGGGAGTAATGCTGAGCCAGAAACAGACGGCTCTCTCTGTATGTATGTACATTTATCTGCCTCTTGTCTTATATACAGCGCTCAAGGAAATGGGTATTTTGTACTCGTCGGAGGGTCTCTCCGCCATATCTCCTCTTCGGTCGGGAATGCCATGCCAGAACCCGATCCCCAAAACTCTCTCCCCTGCACCGTCAAAAGGCAAACCAACCCAGAATGCGCCAGGTTTTAAACAACCATAATACCAATGACAGTATGCAATATGAACGAAAAAAAAAAGAAGAGAAGAAAAAGTCTTTTGAACCACAAGAGCTCAAATCTCCACCGCATGCCCCGGCACCTCATCCTCCCCATCCTCCTCGTCCTCGTCCCTCAGCACCTCCATCTCCTCCGGGATGAACACCTCAAACTCGTCATCCTCATCGACCTCCTCCTCCTCCCCCTCCTCCCCATCAAACTCCTCGTCGCTGTTGTCCCCAAAGTCGCTCGGCATCGTAGACACGTACAGCGGCAGCAGGTCCCGGTGCGGCATGTCGAGTATGTCGCCGCCACCACCAGCAGCAGCAGCAGCACTCCCGTCGGAATCTACATCGTCCCCCTCTCCGCCGACGTCCCGCGGGTCGCTGAGCTTCCAGAACGCCGTCGGGCCGCAGGGGCCGTGCGGGTCAAAGTCCTTGTCGAACCAGGTGCCCACGACGCCCCTGGCGGACCGCACGCCGCCGAGCTGGATGCCCTCCGAGGTCCAGCGCTCCTCGCCCATGAACACCGAGTGGCTGGTCCAGCGGACCTCGCCTTCGGGGGTGAGGCGGCAGGTGCCTGTTTCTTGGGGGTTTTTACGCAGGTGGTGTCAGCCAGTCAGGTTGTCAACTGCCAAAAAGAAAAAAGAAAGAAGGAGACGCTCGGAAACTGCACCCAAAGAGAACAAGGAGAGAGAAAAAACTGTCACAGTACCTCTTATCGCCGAGCCCGAGTTCTCATCCCACACGCCGTCAATCGACCGCGCCGTGCCCTGAAAGTGCGTGACCGGCAGCGCCTGCCCGTCCTTGGGGCCGGGGGCCTCGATCCCCGTGACCTCGATCTTCATGACGATGAGCCTCGTCGCTCCGGGGATGTCCAGCGCCCTGCGGGGCACGTTGTCCGGGAGCTGGTCGAAGATGGGGAAGTTGTACCGGAAGAAGTCGTTGTAGTCGAGGAAGCACACGACGCGCAGCCAGAAGCCGGACACGCCGTAGGGGTCCCGCGCCGCCAGCAGCAGCACGTCTCTGCCCATGCGCACCATGGGCTTGGGCAGGTAGCTGTTGGGCCAGCCGCCGCCGAAGGCGGTGTTCCAGAAGTTGCCAAAGGCCGGGTACCCGTCGAGCCCCTTGTTGCGGATGTTGCCGCGCAGCACGATGAGCACGGCCTCGACCTTCTCCCAGTCGACGCGCATCGAGCCGTCGCCCATGAAGGGGCCCCAGCGGGTCAGCGCCGTGTACTGCCGCAGGTCGTACACCTTGGAGCAGGCGAAGGGGAACATGCGGCTCGTGGAGCGCGTGCGACCGAACTTGAGGACGGGCATGCCGTAGAGCGAGTGCAGCCGGGCGCTCATCTGGTGCTCGACCTTGGGCGGGTCCGAGAAGCGGTTCACGAGGCCCCTCGCGCGCTCGAAGAGGAAGGACCGCCGCAGGAAGGCGTCGTGGTTGGACTCGTCCTCGAAGAGCTGGGCGAGTAGGTCGGCGTTGCGCGAGTGCGGGTACAGGTTGGTCGTGTCGGAGCGCTCGGTGCCGCCGCGGGCGGAGCGGGCGAGGAGCGTCGTGAAGGCGTCGTAGACGAAGGGGAGCTCGGATTTCTACAAGCACAAAAGGACATTTTTGGTCATTAAGAGTCTCTCCTACCGCCGTCCCGAGTGGAAAGGGCGAGGCGAGGAGGGAGACTGTACCTTGTCCGGATCATGGCTGGCGCATATCTTCTTGAGCCTGACCAGGTCCTGCAGCGCCCGTTCCCATGGTACATCGGCGTCCAGGGGGTCATCCTGTTTTCCACAAAGAGGTTCTTGTAAGCCGAGACTCGTTCAACCCATCCGGAGATCCGGTGTTCAACAAGCCCCCCCCGCCCAATCATTCAATGCCACCAGAAGGAGGGGGTGGAGGGTGGAAAGAGACTACAACTCATCGTACCAGATGGCGCAGGTACACATCCCTCCACAAGGCCGTGTTGTCCGCGACAAAGGCGTGCAGGGAGCGACAGGCGCGGGGCACCGAGGCCAGGTCCTCGGGCCCCACGTGGCTCAGGATGCCGTGGAGGATCTCGGCCGGCAGCTGCAGCAGCAGGGCGGTGCCCATGGTGGGCGGTTCTTATCCTCTGTGTCTCCCCGTCTTGTTGCTTCCTGGAGGTTCAAAAGGAGAGCCAAACCGCAAGTTCGTAAGCCTCGGTCACCGTATCGGAGGTCCGTGAGTGTGTATGGGTGGTGGTGGTGGTGGTGGGTGCGGTGCGGCTCAGCGCAAATGCGGGGGAGCACCCGTTACGAGCATGAGCACGAGTAGGTAGTAGTTACGTACAAGCAAGGTACCTGTAGAGCAAGGCGTGTATTTAGGTCACCGGGTAGGTCGTAGGGAATCAATCAAAGACAAAGAGGATATGATATTCTACAGGGGGATGCGTGTGTCGGAGGAGAGATGAGGAAAGTCAAGGAACGAAATACCAAACCAAAAAAGATACGAAAACTCCGAAGGCCGGCCATTAAAATGTGTGAAGCGTCTGGTGTGCGTATGTAAGGCAATGGAAGTAGGTAGGTAGGCAAGTAAAACCTTCGCGCCATCCAAGCCGATGATGAGTAAAGCAAAGCTGCACGATTTGCACAAGGAGTCAGCGATTCGGTGCTTAACACCGATACACCCCGGTGCTTGGACCGCCCAGAGCTCCCAAGGACTAGGGGCTAGTGTGTGGGGGAAGCTTGCCTTTTGGTGGAGGCCATGCATCCATTGACGCTCGACTTTTCTTAACGTCGCTAACTCCGGGACATCGGCTACCTGCCTGCCTGAAGGGTTCGGCACCGCGCAGGAGGAGAGGCGCAGATACCTATCTTCACACCCATACTCCCGTTCCATGTTTACCTCCTCGACGTATTTAAGAAGGAATCGGCGGTGGGGTTACCAATCGCTTGGCCAAAGACAAGTAGGTAGTCAGTGAAACGGTAATGGCAGGACGTGTCGTGTAAGCAAAGCCGTAACCTGCAATCGAACGGAACGGAACCCCAAGACAGTATGCACAAAGCAGAAATACTAAGCATTTTTCCCAATCGGGAAATCTGGGGTATAATCGGGAACAAAACAGATGGCCTCTCGCAGGTATGCCCATGTCAAACTGCCTCCTTGGAAACCCATCCCAGCAGTGCTCCCTCCTTGTCTCGTCTCGTCTCGTCTCGTCTCGTCTCGTCTCGTCTCTCGCCTTAATTTTAGTATGAATGGCAAATCCGCCCAGCCAAACATTCAGCAACAGAGCCGTCCAACAAAATGCATAGCAAATAGACCGACCCGGCCAGCCACCATGGACATCAAGGGAATGAAGGAAACCATCATGTGTGCCCCCCCTTTCCCCTCTCTCAAGCGCCCCTCCCATGTTCCTCGTACAATCATGCCTCGTCTAGACCATATCTGTTCCACCCTCCCTCCCCCTCACTCACTCCTATACTCTCCCTCCACCCATACATTCCAACCCAGCCTTACCCCAACCCACCCCCAGAGTTGAGCTGGATGCAGTTCCCCAGCAGCGTCGCCCCCTCGTTGAGCAGCTCCCACCGCGTCTCCTGGAAGATGTCCCGCAGCACCATGAGCAGCGAGCTGTTCTGGTTGACCCCCTTGCGCGTCTTGAGCTCCTCGGGCGACGACACGCTCGCGTACGTCTGCAGGTACTGCCGCATCTGCGCCACCTGCTCGTGCCGCGACGTCGCCAGCGGCGCCGCCGGGCAGGGCCCCTCGAGCGCGAAGCCGTAGCACCACACCACCAGCGCCGCAAAGTAGAGCACCCACGACCGGTTCAGCGACACGTCGTCGCGCGCCGAGTACGGCAGCGCCGTCTGCCCGTAGCCGCCGCCCATCGACGACCCCGCGTTGGGGTCCTCGCTCAGGAGCACCGAACCCAGGAACTTGAGCGCGTAGTACGTCGCGTCTCGCGCCTTGGCCGAGGGCGCCCAGATGTCGCGCATCCGCCGCTGGGCGCTGTTGAGATCCTGCGTCCCGATCGCCCGCCCCAGTAGCCTCTTGGCCCGCGCAAAGATCTGGCAGTCGACAATGTCGACGTGCATCGCCATGTGGGCCAGGTGGTGCAGCACCATGCGGCTCTCGAAGACGACGTTCGTCTCGGCCGACTTTGTCGAGTTGGACGAGTAGTAGGGGTCGGTTCCATGCTCGCCCCTGCGCAGCGTCTTGTCAAAGTCGGCCTTCCACGAGTCGAAAGCCCGCGTGAGGGTACCACGCCACTTGTCGCGCCCGCCGAGCGCATGGGATACACCGCCGCCGAGAACATTGACCTGTAGGTCTCTCTGGTTCATGTGCCAGCTCACGCTCAGCAGCCCGGCCATCAGAATGGTGCGGCCGAACGAGTTGGTCTGCACCTCGTGTCCGCTCAGCGTCCTCTTCAGGCCTTCCAGGAACGAGATCGGTTTGATGCCGTTGGACGCATGGTTCGCCTCGATCCTTCCCACCTCCGCTCCATTCGAGGCCTGCCACAGACTCTCATCGCAAGGTAGCGGTAGACGCATCTCGTGCGCCACCATGACGGTCGAGTGGCCAAACATGGTGGCGTGGATCGAGTCGATCACAAACGCGGCAAAGGCAGTGCGCCGCGTGGCTTCGTTGGTGATCCAGTGATTCCACCAGTCGTCCTCTGTGTGGGCCACTCCCGAAGTCGACGAGTGTCGAGAACTGCTCCCTCGCTCACCGCGCGGGTTCGGCGGAGAGTCGAGAGCCGACTTGCCGAGAAGGGATCGCCCACGCCGCATCAGCGTGATCGTGGTGGCGTGGTGGATATGGGCCCGCTCGTGCAGCTCTCTGGTCGAGTACATCTTCTCGTACAGCTCTAGGAGCAGCAGCGTCTGGAACACCCACAGCTTGGCCGGCGGGCGGAAGCTCGAATCCATGAAAAGCTCCCACCTCAGGTGCCACGCAAGAAATTGGGACAGCTCAAAACTGGCCTTGACCGTCTCACGTCCAACTGCTTTGTCGAGGCAGGCCGCTCCGATGGCCATCATGGCAATGAGCAGCAGAGGTGGCATCCGATCTGGAGAAAACGTCGGCTTGTGCAAGATGGGCACCTGGTCGCTGAAGTGCAACCAGTATGAGCCAATGTACTTCTGCATCATCTGGCGGCTAAGCACGTTAGTCTCGTCGCTCCTTTCGCCGTCAAAGATTTTGGCCCGAAGCCATTCGATCGGGCTGTGTCCATTCTCGACGAATTTCTTCTCGATAAACTCGTAAATCTCTGTGCTCTTATCCTCGGAGAGCAGCGACTCGGGCAGATTGGGGTCCAAGAGGCTCGTAACCGACATGACGGCCTGCTTGCCCGTCGTGGGAAAGTACCCCATCTGGGAGGGATCTGCTCCGTAAAAAGGTATACCATACTGGTTGGGTTGGAATTCGCCATATCTGTGACCGACATGTCAGCATGGGGTCGACCTCGTGAGAGACGGATTGGCCTCGGATAACTTACCCAGAGTACGAGTTCTGCGCGGCCATCTGACCAAGGGGAGACCCGGCGTCTGTCTGCGGCGAGTTGCTGAAGAGATACGATAAAAAGTCGTCGGGCATGCCCACCACGTACGGCGACTTCTGTAGTACTCCATCGCTCGGTCCGAACATGGGCATGGTGTTCGCCATGGCCATCTGGTCGAGCATCACCATGTCGCTCCCGTTTTGCTCGTGGCTCTGCTCGGAATACTCTGCAGTTGTCGTGGGTGCATAGGCCGAGGTGCTGTCTCTGTGGACCGGAGCCGCGGGGGTGGGGGCAAAGTCGGAAGGAGGGAGGCTCAGGCCGGGGAAGTTTTGAGCATATACTCCAGACTGCGGCGTGTTAGCAGGCTGGCTGTTGTAACTATGCTGGGTTGAGACGGGCGACAACACCCCGTAAGGACCGACATTTGTTTGGACGGACGGCCTCTGAGTGACCGTGGGCGAATGAGATTGCTCCTGCGCGTGCATCTGCCCGTAGCCTCCGTCGCGGGGCATGTAGTCCATCGGGTTCGCGTGCGCGGTGTTGGGGTACGCCGTAGGTGGCGTGTTTGCGAGGGGCGGGTAGGCACTGTTCATGTCGGGTTTTGGTGAGTGGTAATGCGCATGATCGACGTGCATGCCATTGAAGCCCGCGCCGGACCTGCTGAGCTCGGGCGAGGTGGGCATGGGGCCAGGCTTCATAGCTGCGACGGGCGAGAGATGGCCCATCAACGAGTCCTTCCGGTTCAAGGAAGAGCCCTTGGAGTTGTGGCGGTCCTTGTGGCGATTGCACAAGTCAAGTCGCACAAAGGTCCGTCCGCAGTCGCCGACATCGCAAACATATATCTGCTTTGGCGTGTGGTTCAGCTGGTGTCGGTACCTACAGTTCGGGGGTGTCAGTCAGGTGAGGAGGTGGCGGGCGCATGGGAACTGCAGCTCACAGATGTTCTGCCCTGGAGTAGCTCTTGCCGCAACCCTCGTGCGGGCATTCGAATTTCTTGTCTAGGCCTTTGCGGCTTCGCCGTCGTTTGCGCGATGGGCCATCAGAGTTGGACGAGTTGGCTCCATCACCAGCGTGATCCGCGCCATGGTCGTTGGTCTTGGAGTCGTCGTCCTCGGACCGGCTGCGTGGCCTTCCTCTGTCATCGTTGATACCTTTTGTCTCAAGCTTGAGGTTGTGCGGCGGCGTGGGTTCTTGCAGCTGCATCATAACTGCAGCAGCGCTCACGGCAGAACGGGTCTCGGACTTATCGTAATGGAGCGCCGAGCCAGATACCGCTGCCTCGCTGAAATCAGTAAAAGTGTCCGCACACAGCTGCTCTAGACACGGCGAGATAGATACCGGCAAGGTACTATGCCGACACGATTGGGCAATACCGTGCCGACGAGAGTCAAGAGAGCGCCTTGCGGACCCTCGGCTGCTGTCAGAGGTTGCGATCCGCCTAGGTTGAAGATCACCGTCGTGCCCAGTGGCACAGCAGGGGCTCAAGACCAAGAAGTTGAGGTTGCGCAATTGGGCTGAAGTAAAGGATGCGCTGATAGTTGAGCGTTATAGCTCGAGGTAGGCGCGAAGGCCGTGCTCGTTGATCGTGATCGTGGTGGTTCTCGACCAATCTCTCCCAGACCAATAGAGAACGCTCACGCCGTCATGACTGCAGCTCGGAAGATCGCTCGCCGGGGGTTCTGAAGAACCGGGGTGGAGCAAGCGATGTATGAGGGACCAAGGGCCCTTCGAGTACCAAGAGAGCTTTTGGTATGGACCTAGGCGCGCAAGACTTGCTGCAGACTCCAGGTGAGGCCGTCGACGATATTTTCTGGTCTCTTTTTCTCAGGATGAAGATCAGCAAAAAAAAGTTCTGGAGTCCGGGAATCACAAGTGAAGGTGGTGCCGGCTGATGGTAAAATCAAGCAAGGACGCGCGCGGGTGGGCCAGCCCGCATTGAGATGGGACGGGAAGATGGGGGGTAATCGGGAGACCTGGTGGACCAAGCGTGCAGACAAGGGACTGGGGGGGGCCGAAAAGAGAAAGAAATGAGCACAAAAGAGGGAAAGGAAGGAGAAAAATCTGGCAGACTGTGCCTCTCGTCCGTGGGACAAGGATGGGTAGATATTTTGTTGCATGAGGCACGCGTGACTGGACGGATACTGCCCCAGAACGAATGGATATTCAGATGATTCAATAACGCAGACAGGACAAGACAGAAAAGGCAGAGCTCAGACTTGGCTTTCGCTTCGAGGGCAACTAAGATCGAAAGGAGCGCAGCGCAGGTCGAGGGACGAGGGACGAGGGACGAGAGACGGACAAGCCCACACGCACGCCCGCTCCGCGCCGATCGAGACATACAAAAGGTCCCATGCCTAGCGTTCCGCTGCAACAGCGTAGCTGGAGGCAGGCAACAACCAGGGTGCCACCTGGGCACGTCTGTCTGCAGGAGAAAGTCCTCGAGCGTCTCCCCATCTGGGTAACGCCCGGTGCAAGGTCGTTTGGGGCTAAAGTCCAGAGGGGCCGATTTGAAGGGTGGGATCGAGAAAGGGGGGGGGGGGGGGGGGGGGGCGAA